ATAATAAACATGTAACTCAGTTTATCTTTCTTTATCGTCTGACTATAAATATAAAGTCAGCAGTCATGTTAAAAGCAGAGGATGTCCAACCTGTCCTCCTGATGAACTGTCCTGGTTCACAGCTCCTGTGTCTCTGTGCTGCTCCACAGCCTCCTGGTTTAAGGTCTGTACAGAAGAATCCCTCCATTGGTTCACAGACTGTGTCTGCAGATCGTCCACATTCTTCTTTTACCTTCAGACCAGCTCCTGAAAACACAAACAGGTTATACGTTTAGGGATAAAACTTGCATCCAAATGTGCCTGTTTTCCATTAATAGTTGCAGCCATAGGCATCATTAAAAGCAGACCTCTGGAAATACAGAAATACAGCCATCATTTCGGGATGGTGTTCCAACATGATTGGCTGAACCAAAATAGCAGAAGATGCCTCAGAATATTGTCTCAGAGCTCAGGGGAAAATTATATTTTATTTAAAGTGCATTTTAGAAACAGCCATGGTCACATTAAAAAAAAAAAAAAAACATAGTTAACAATACCCAATATTAAAATCAGCACAGGGCAAAATATGATCTTAATGTAAAATGAATTAATAATAATATTTTCTGATTAGTATATTACTGTATTTATGTCTAATATGTCAACATATTCTCATTATCAGTTCGTATGAAATCGTACGAAAAGTTATGCACATTATTTCGTACGTTTTGGACGTTTTTCCTCAAAAAACCACATCAGTGCACATGCGCAGCCAGACAGACGAAAATAGCAGATCCGCGGACGGACGTAAAACTGGGAAAAACAGTGCAATAATTACTTCTTGATGTCTCTCACTAGGTTGCTTGCTGTTTTGTATGTTAGGGTCAGGGTCAGGGTTAGGATTAATTGTATGTTAAATTCTATGTTATTGAATGGTGCGAAAGATGCGCATGCGCAAGGATATCTTGTCTCGAGGCAAGACGTAAAAATACGACGAAATACGACGAAAAAAACGTACGAAATTACTGTGCACAACTTTTCGTACGATTTCATACGAACGGATAATGAGAATACAGTGAATATGTCAGACTAATGGTAGCTAAAGCCAGCTATGTTAGCTGCAAGAGTTCACCTGTCTATCAAGGCCTGTGTTTGGTGTGGTTTGGTTTATGGTTTGTAAATATTAGAAGCATATTTATGTTTGAAG